CTATACGAAGTTATTACGCTGGTGTTGCCCTTCGGCCCACGTGGCTCTGGGACACTCCGCGCCAGAAGTGAGACGGGAGCGCGCGCGGGTCCCTGCGGCGGGGCTCCAGCCCGAGCACGCGTTACCGCCGCCCGGGCGAGCGTCCTTGCGGCTGCCGGCGTGCTCGTGGGGCGCGCGCCGGAGGCAGGTGATGGGCGAACCGGGCGACGCGCTTCGCTCAGTGCTGGCACTGCTGGTTCCTCCTTGGGGGAGAGGCAGGGATTTGGTCTGTCACCGAAAGTCATCGAGCCAACGGTGATGGAAGGGATGGGAGGACTCACATCTCCCTGTCCCAAACCACAGAGTGTTTTGGGGGCTTGCGTTTGGGTCACTTTCTTAGAGGAAAGTGCTGTCCAAGCCCTGGTAATTCCTCGCGTTTCGGCTTTTTGCTGTGAAGGTAGTTTTTTCTAACACCATCTTTGTGTGATTTAGCTGTCCACAGGGAATCAAAATGTGGAATGAGAGGATGAAACTAATCCTTTCTTTTGCACTGTTAGGGGTTGCCATAAACACCATTTGTTAAAAAGCATAATTATGTTGGGAAAGTGCCTGATGAGACAATTAAGCTACATAAACACACTGAAAACAAATGAAAACCAGAAGACGCCCACACCCCTTGTGTAAAGCAATTTTTTGTTTACGTAGAAACTAGAGGGGTTTGGGCTGCTTTATTACAACAGTGTTATTATTGCCTAGAAAAACCTAGTGATCGAATACGTATTAGTTTTCAATGATGACATGAGGGTCACAGTGTGAAAACTTGCCTGCAAACCTGAACTAGCCAGGAAGCCCTGCACTCCCTTTGGGTTAAGATGATTAGGCCAACAAGCAGTCTTCAAGGACAGAAGCTTGCAGACTGATTCGTGGAGAGCACCGTGATTTGCACCAGAGTACTTACAGCTTAAACTCTTAAAGTTTGTCTCCGTGTTGGACACCACTTACTCCGCGTTGGACAGCATCCCCCACACGGAGAGCATTAGCTGACCCTAGTCAGATATTTGTTGAATGAATTCATGAGGCCCACATTCGCTTTTAGTTATTACATTTAAAAGAGGCTGAAATTATGATGGTCTGATCTTGAAAAGGAATTATTTTATTATTTTGAGATATTTTAATTCCTTTAAATCATAATATCATTTGTGGTATGAAAGATGAGTCAAAAAATGCCATTCTAGAGCACTAAAAAAATCAAAGCAAACTTCAAAACTTGTGTAATTAATCTATTTTCGACAAAGGAATCAGTTACATTTTTGGCATTATTGAATGACATGTGCCAGAGTATGTGTCATCTTTCAGTTCAAGGCAGAGTGTCCTGTAGAAAATTTCAAACTGATTTAGAAACTTTGGAGATCAAAGTACGAGGAGGAACTTAGTCAATCAAATAGTTGTCATTTAAAGCTCCCAAATAGGTCCCTTTTATTTGTTCATATAATGTCTATGGCATGGCCTATATAGATACTTTTCCTTTTGGTCACAGGAATAGCTTTTATAGGAATCAGCATATTAAATAATCTCCCTCATTCCCCTTTTCTGCATTTCCCAAGTAAGTCTAGTTTAACAAAAGGATCATGCCTATTTGTTAAATAGCACAGACCTTGAAAACAGGGATAAGCTAAAGAAGACCATGTTTTAAATGAAATAACATATTTTAAAGCAAAAGTTTCATTTAGATGACAGAATTCAGGCTGAGTAACTTGCCAGGTGTTTGCCAGTGTTGGTTCTATATTTGCATTTACCTATGTAAATGACCATTTACACATGGTCTCCTGTATGAGTCAATCTGAGGATTTTAACCTTTAGGTGTTCTTTAGGAATGAAATAGTGATCATATTATGACTGCCTGGTTTCCAAAATGTTATGATTTTTATGGTTAATGAACTTGGAAATATGAATCAATTGTAGAGGACTGAAATAATCATTTTTCTCCTATTCTAGAAAAATCATGTCTTCCTCCAGACTGGGGCTTCGTTTGGCTGCCTGTTTACTAAACATTTCAGAAGCCAGAAGAAAATACATTGTTGAGAACATAGCAAAAGCAGCTCTTCTTGAAAAAAATGGTAGGAACAACAGACAAGTGAAGAGAGTATTGTAATGTTTTGATAATACAGTCATTTTTGTACTCTGCACACTGTATCTGTGGAACGCTTTTCTTTCTTCCTTCCTAGATTGTCTCCCTAGTTCTCGAGCTGTTATAGTTTCTTCTACACAACTCCAGGACACTGAGATAGATCAGTTCCTCAGATGTGCGCATACGCAGCTCCGCATGGTTGCGTGAGTCTCTGAGATGCCAGTTGTTCAGGATACTGACAGACTTCCGAGGAAGATATATCTACGTAGAAGTTTAATGTTTTCCTCACGGGCTGTTTATTTGATCATTAATAGAATGAGCATGATTGTACATTATACTTTTCATTCAGCAGGTTAAATGAAAAATAACTTGCCAAATACCAACTACTTTTCAGAGCACTCCTGCCAGCAAAGCCCATGTTATCTTTATAGTATTATTATTTTTATTCCGTTTTCTCTGGATAAAGACTCTTAGACAATTGCATTTAAGTGATATGCATAAGATCACTCAGCAGTTCAGTGACAGAAGACTGGAACTCAAGCCTCCTTACAGTATTACCGTGAGAGATACTACTCTTTGTTTACCTGTCTTAAAATGCTCATGTGGTGACACGCAGTTTAATTATCATTTGTTTTTACTTTCACACACACGCAAAACACAGTGTATTTACACACGTACAATCATTTAAATAGAAATACTGTGTTATTAAATCAATAGCTTTTTGGCAACAGGTAAGCATTAGGATCACAGCCCTAAAGCATTTGAGACGGTGTATTTTAATTTCTGATTGTCATTTTTTGATGTGGTTACTACTTTTCATGAGAAAGAAGTGTTTTTCCCCAAACTGTCTCTAACTATGAGCATATTTAAGTTAATGTATTGCAACTTTGAAGGAGCCGGAAATGTCTATGAAAATTCCTGATAATTGCTGATCAGAAAAGTCCTTTGGAGTTGGGATGCACCTGTGCTTTAGCATATTCTTTGTAGAAAGAGCCAGAGTGCGCTCTTCACTGTCAGAAACAGTACATCTAATGGGATTGGGTTACCTGTCTCTGTGATTAAGTGAATGTGCAGAGACATTTGTGGAAGACACACACTGATGGACTCCTGGGTCTCAACTCACAGTTTTTATCAGCTTATTAGTGGCAGCAGCTCAAATGGAATTATAGCTATTATACTCCATGACAAATACCAAACAATTTACTTCTGCTGAGATTCATACTGACAGCTCCTCCTGCCAGCAGTCATTTTTTTCTATATGCAGGTTTAAGAAATTGCAGGAGAGAGTGTTTCATTCTTTCAGCATTTGATTCAATTGAAATCATGTGAAACTGAGAATAAAAGCTTTTTAGAAGAAGATTTAGGATGAAAAAAAATAAATCATATCTTTTTTTTTTCCAGGAGCAACAGTATTTTGAAAAACCACATAAAATAGGAGGTTGCGTGATCTTGTTCTTGCCTTAACTTTTATAGTTTTAAAAATTCAGAGAAGGTAGTACTAGTTAAGAAAATGAACCTGTTGTTTTACAAATATTTTAAAGGCATTTATTTTTAAGTGAGTGGAATAAAACTATATAAGCTATATTTTGTCTAATTAAGCAATGTGAGTGCATTTAAATGGCCTAGAAAGGTCTTAGGTAAAGGAATTGAGTTATAAATTTTAGACCTACATCAGGGCAAGGCTCTATAGATGCTCGTTTGGCTACGCCTGAGTGACATATGTTTATCTTCTCACATTATTAAAATTAATGGTGTAGGGCTGCTGTAAGCTCTGTAGTTCCTGGGTGTAACTTATTTTTCCTTTGCCCTGAAAAGATTGATTGTTAAGATGCCAGAGGACAGGGGGACAAGGTATAATAGCATAGCTAAAGAATTAATTACCGCCTGAAAACTTTTGTCCTTCACTTTGAATTTGCTTTTGTAGGCATAAGGAGGACTTTTAAGGAGCCTGGACCAGGCTTGTAAACTTCAAAAATAACTTTGGGGTTATATATGGCTGCCACACAAGGGTATGGCAGTTTTCTCCTTCAGGTTACACATTCAAGTGAATCAAAAGCCACCAAAAGCTGGAAGTTGTTAACTTCTGAAGGCTGTTGGTGGCCTCTGAAAAGATGGTGGAGTCAGAACAGTTTCTAATGGACAGGTGCATGCATCCCCGAAGCCTCTGGTCTAGGTACTAATTGGCCTGTCCTTGCTTTTCCAGATGTCAGATCTTGATCCAGTTTCATTTCCTTCCATTTGGAAGGAAATATTGACAAAGCCTAGGAGATGAAATTGATAGGGAACAAAATTGAGAGTAATAAGATTTGGCCATTGTAAAAAGGGGCTATCATCTTAGACTGAGTTAAGAGAACTTTGGCAAATTCAGTAGCAAGTCCAAGAGAAGGACTCTCGTAGACATTAAAGGCTTGTGTCTGAACTGAGTCATCTGGTTAAATAATAAGATGCTGTAAGAAATGGATGTTCTTATTCATGAATTTCATGCTTAGCCAATATCATTTTCAAAGGTCATATCCCAGAATTGTTCTGCTAAACTAAATTTGATTATATAAAGTATTAAGGTTTCATCACAGAAAAAGATTTCTTGCATCTTTTTTTTTTGTCTTTTCTTTTTTTAGTAGGGCAGAAACATCCTGAAGTATCAGTGCTCAATATATTTTCTGATCAAGACTACAACAGATCAGTTATTACAATAGCAGCTTCCATTGATACGCTGGGTAAAATTTGTTTCTTTATGTATATGTCTTTTTTTTGATGAAGAGTAGGCTTCAGGTAGACCTGAATGTTCTTTAATCATTAATTTCCTGTGTAAATCTAAAGACTCCCCTCCATTAAGTGAAGAGTCTACAACAAAACTATATTTCATTATTTTCCTGAATAAATATATCTCAAACATTTCCTCTGGGTCCAAATTTAATAATGCTCTTTTGCTGAAGATGATCACATATCCTTTGTGGTTAAGAAAAACATCTTCAGGTTTTAACCTGTGAAGTAATAGTGAAGTCAGCCTTAACTTCACTGAGAAGCTGGAATGGAATGAAACACTCTAAGCAGTTGTGTTTTGGGTTGGGAGCCTGAAATCTTTAATTGGGCAATGGGTTGAAATAAAATGGGCTCCGAGCCTCATAGAGATGTTGTAAGGTTTAGTAGGAGAATTTGAAGAATCACAATTGTTTAACAAACACCTGTATTATCTTAATATTGCTCAGTATAGGATTCAGAATATTTTCAAATAAGCTTGTTTTAAACTTGGCAGATTGTTTTCTTTTCAAAAGGTATGTTTACTTAGAAAGCAAAGAGCTGACGATAAACTCCCAGCAAGCATAGGACAAATTATCTTGAATGTTAATCATAAGATATAAAGTCTGCTTTTATCTTTATTGCTAAAATGGTCATACTAATGAAAACTCAGAGTAATAACATAAAACTTGTAGGTGTCTATAATGTATATTTATTTATTTATTTATTTATTTATTTTTCCTTTTGTCTTTTTTCGTGTCCGGCAATGGAGCGCAACCCTCAGTGTCGCGCCCGTACCGGACCGGGACCGGCAACGGGATCGCAACCCTCGGTGTTGCTCCCGCACCTCGCTCAGCCAGTGAGCGGGAACCGGTGTGTATGTGGGATCCGAACCCTCGGCGGGAGCGCCGCCGCGCTCCCAAGCGGTGCACTGTAGCAGTGCGCCACTGGGCCGGCCCTATAATGTATATTTAGACATAATAATTCAATGAAAAATCTAATTAGTGGACAAGAGCAAAACTAAAATAAGTGTGCTTTTAAAAATTTATATTTAATACAATTACTCATAAAACATTCTGAAAATAACAAGGAATTTTATCAGATTAATTGAAGAAACTGAAAAAGTTTAAAGTAACTAATTGTAAAGATATAACAAAATTGTATAAGACCGATAAACATTGCTTAATTCTTCCATTTGGGGGAGGAAAAAGCCAAAGGAAATGTGAAGTTTTGTGACTGTTGGGAGGTGTGCTGAGGGGAAATGTTGAATCTTTTATTTTTCATTATTTTGGATGAAAAAACAATCTTCTATACAGATTACAAAAGAAAAGCAACTAGTGGGATAACAAAATCCTAGCTTCTCCTTCACATGTGCTTGAACGTTTAATGAGTGATTTTTACAATTGCACATTTTTAGGCAGTTCTGTTCTGGCTGCCTGCTTGGAGGCCTTTCAGGCCATCAATATGGAGCTTTAGGAGGGGATCCACCCTTGTCTGGGAGCAGTGGACCTCATTTACCCTCTCTCTGGTGTTGGCTTGGAAGAGTGTGGTGCGGTGGCCAGAAGTAAGAGAAAGTTTGGGGTCATGTGTTATTCCTCTTTGGAAACTGTTTTTAGAAACCAAAACAGCTTGTGACAATAGAATCACTGCTCAACTCCTTGGGAAAAGTCCATCTTGAAGAAGAATTGTAGCAACAGTAGCATTCATGGGTTGCACAATGTGTCTTTCTGACTCACTCATCCTTCCACCTTGCACCCCATGACATTATGGAACAGTAAATGCTGTGGGATGTAACAAAAAAGTGAAAAAATCTTCAAAAATTTTGTTCCTTACAAATTCACAGTAGATCATGAGGCAACAACAATAGTTTCCGTCGAGTTCCTTTGACTCTTAAGGGTGGAACAATGGTGTGTTTTGCCCATCTGAGTCCTATTTTCTTGAGCAGGGGTAACGATGAGGTTGAAAAACCACTTAAATGTTAACTCTTACCCCCCTTTTCCTCTGTTTTTTTCTTGTTTCTCTCTGCACAACTCTCTAAGATTTTCTTTAGAGCTGAACTGTCACATGCATGACTTCAGCCCAAGGGGTAAGTTTAATTTGGAAAATTTGAGTTATGTCACTTGAGGTGTTTTTGAATTAGGCAAATTGGGAGAAAAGAAAGACCTTTTGCCTGGTCTGTCTAGCTGGACCACGGTTAATTACGAGATGCAGAGACTCATAACCTTTGGGGAAAAACCCACTTTAGGATAATTGCATTCTTTTCTATATGACCTCAGAAATCCTTCTATGATGTTGGCTAATTTTTATTTAATAGTGAATTGTCTAACATTTGAGATGTACTTCAGCTGCATTAAGCACCAGAAATAGGAAATGAGACTTGTTTCCAAAGAAGTACATCACTGCTTGTGCTGCATTTTAATGTGACCTGACAGTTAAGGGGTTATTTCCCAGGGAAATCTTGGCCCCAAATTTTCTTCACTTTTTATCCAAGGAAGAGTTAAAATTCAGCATGAGGGAAAATATGTTTCACACTAAAATGAAGAGTTCAGAATTGTCCAGACCAGAATAATGATTTTAATTGTCTTCAAGACAATGATGGACAATTACATGAAATCTCAAATTAGCCAGTACGTGAAGTTCTTCATTACATCAGGACCAGTCCACCCCAGATGTTCGTCGTGTGCAGGAGACGGTTGAGAATCAGTGGGTCTGGACACAGTATTTCTTTCTTCCCTTGCCCTTTTGCTTCATTGGCAGCTACTGTACCTCATGATTTAAACATGGACATTTCTAATTAAATGAGAGCTCAGCTGCATTCTTGAACTAATTTATAACATTTGATTTGAAATGTAATAGCTTCAATCTTCATCTGATTAAATACAGTCATATACTGTACATGGTTACTATTTTGATGCTCCAACATGCAGTTTTTATTTTTATATTCCCCTTTCTACACAGCTGTTCATCTAATATCATCCAATTTTTTTAAGGTTTTTTTTTTTGTAACAGCGTGCTCAGGCATTCTTATAAAGCAGAAGTATTCACATTCTGGGATCCCACTGGTCTCAGAGTGGTGAAGGGAGGTTTTTCACTAGACTAAGGCCTTCCCAGGGAAACCAACTTTAAGATGATAATTTAGCAAGCTTTCTTTGGGACAAAAGGCAATGGATAATTTTCTGGTTTCATAAAAGATAGTTAGTACTGATATATGTAATTCATGTATGCTTTGTCTGCAAAAATTCTGAATAATATATCGAAGAACTTTTTGGTATCACCTATAAGCTTGCTTCCTTGCTTACACCTTAAGGAAAAGTTTCTTAAATTGGGTCCAAAATTGGTGTTCAGGGGTTTATAAATACCACCAACATTTTTTGCAAGTTTTCATGCATGTGCATTTGTAGAGAAGCACTCATGTAGTTTTGCATATAATTTTAGTTTGAGAACTTCCAGAATGAAAGGCCCAGACGTGAGGACTAGGGTGGCTGGCTGGAATTTAGAGATGGGGTGGGATGGGAGAGGCATTCCTGGGAATGTTAAGAAATGAAGCCCCAAGAAGTAATCAGAGGCCAGATTATGAAGTTCTAAATGCCAGGTTGAGGAGTTCAAACCTTATCCTAAAAGCGAAGGGAACCATTGAAGCATTCTAAGTAAGAAGATAGTGTGATTGGCTTTGAATTTTAGAAAGATCACTCTTCCTGCATGTAGAAGATGCACAGGAAGCAGACAGACAGTGTGGAAAGATGATAGTGGCCTAAAATAATAGAGAATGGACAAGTTCCATGGATGTTGAGGAGTAGGGGACAAAGCAGTGGTATGATAGTGTCATTGTTTACAAATGATGGAAGAAGGGATTTGGAGGGGAAAGAGCGTGAATACATGTTGTACTTGCTGTCATTTGGCAGTGGATATACCATTTAGAGAGTTCAGAAGAGATATAGATCTAGTCTATATTTATTTAAAGCTTACAGGTTTTCTCAATATTTTCTACTTTGGTTTTCATTTTCTATAAAAACCCATATTTGATCTTTTAGGCTACATCTCACTTTGTCTCATAAATTAGGCTCATCTCTATTATGCCTCTAAAATTTTTCCTCTCCTCCCTCCCTCTCTCTCTTTCTCCTTCCTTCCCTTTCCTTTCTGTTTTTACCAAAATGATACATACATGCGACAGAGAGTAAAATATTCTAGTGTTTATTGCAAAAACTCTAAGTACCCCCTTTACACCCCTCTGTACACACACTTCACTTTCCTCCTCCTCAGAGCCAAGTACTTTCAATTCTTTTACCTTATTATTTAGGATTTAACTGCAGATATCTAAATATCATACTTACATTGTTACTTCTTAGTTTTTCAGTTTTAGGCATTATCTATCGGCTTCTCACTGCAGGTGAGAATTTAGCTTCCTCTCACCCCACTTCTCATTCCCAACACACACACACACACACACGCACGCACACACGCACACACACACACAAACACACACACTTCCCAGTCCTCCCTCAATATAGTTATATCAAGATTTGGATCAATATTTAGTGGTTACGTTATTGTAAGTAAACATTATTAACAATGAATCATCTAGACTGTTATTATAATTTTACACTTTCTGCATAACTTTTTCTTTTTGCTGGATTTGATCATTATCTTTTTATTTGTTTGCTTGGGGTTTTATATACTTACCACTGGTTTAACTGCAAGTTTTCTATCAATAACCACATCTCTCCATGCATTTATATAGAACACTCCATGCATTGAGTAGTCTATCAGTTTCATCTTCTTAAAGAAATATTTTCTAGAACTCTCTGACCTGTTCAGTTAGGACCTCTTGCCTTCAGTGTGTTGAAGATAACTGTCATCCTGGGGTCTCCCTTTGCCCACACCTTCAGGGTTTTCTTCATCTTTCCCCTTGTTGGATCCCCTGGTTCCTGAACCTGAATCCCATGTGTTCTCTCTCTCTTTTTTTTTTCTTTCTTGGTTT